AGGTTAGTGGATTTTATAGTTTTTATAGTTTTGAGTTTTATAAAGGCAAGCTTAATACTCATAGAATTTTAAATTATGACAGTGAATTTGAATACGATACTCTCAAAAAAAAAAGTTGTGGGCTCTGTAAACCTCGCGATTCTATATTAGGACTATTAAATTGATTAGAAATATCAAAGTCTTTTGTCTGCTTCACCTACAATTTCACTGGTTTCACATCACTGCCTACTGGTCTACAAAAAAGGTTAGTAGCTTTATGACTTTCATAATTTTGAGTCCTATAAAGGCAACTTAATACTTATGAAATATAAATTTTTTATAATAGTGAATTCGAATATAATTTCCTTTTTTTTTTTTTTTAAACAAAAAAGGGGTAGTGGGCTCCGAGCTTCGCAATTCTACACTGGTTCCAACATCATTGGTCACTAGTATCACTAGTATATAAAAAAAGGTTAGTTCCTTCATAGTTTTTGAATTCTATAAAGGCAAGTTTAAATCCGAATGCAACATCTTCATTTTTTTTTTAAAAAAAAAATTAGAATCATGAACATAATCAAAAAATATAGTGAATAATATTAGAGGTTAGTGTTTATTATTTTTTTGAGATCCTTACTATCAAAATTTGGTATTAACTACCAAACTCTTAAAATATCTAATCCTAAACCCATCGCTAACCCTATCGCTAACCCTATCACTAACCCTATCGCTAACTTCTATCCTAACCCTATCGCTAACCCATCGCTAACTCCTATTGCTAACCCTATCGCTAACCCCTATCACTAACCCTATTGCTAACCCTATTGCTAACCCTATTGCTAACCCTATTGCTAACCCTATTGCTAACCCTATCGATAACCCTATCACTAACTCTATTGCTTACCCCTATCGCTTACCCTATCGCTTACCCCTATCGCTAACCCTATCGCTAACCCTAATGTGTCACCAAATACATCACTAACTCTAATGTGTCGCCAAATACATTGCTAATTCAATGTAAACCCTAACACTAATATATTGCTAATGCCAAATGTAAAATCATGTGTATTGTTTTTATGAAATCTGATTGGTGCTGATTATTTGGAAAAAAAAATTGTATAAATAGTAGTTTATATAAGTTGTTTTTTTTTTTTTAGTTTTCAACTATGCCAGCAGTTCCAAAGCTTCCCGGTACACCAAACGAATATCAAGATATTGTTAATTACCTTCAATCCAAGAAAATACCAGAAAATATTCATGGTTCTAGTGTGAAGTCTAATTTTGAATGTCGGTGCAAAAAATTTGAGTTAGATGAAAACGGTGTTCTTTATCTTTCTGCTATAGTTAAAAATGGCGAAGTTATCTCTGATATACATCGTGTAGTTCCTAAATACAATGTTGAACTACGTGATTTGTTATTAAAAAAATTTCATAATCAATCTAATCATTGTTACTATCATCCAACATATTCTGCACTTTCAGAAAAACATATCGGTATTACACAAGTGGAAGTGCAAGAATATGTTAACAAATGCTCAGTTTGCGCTATTAATTCCTCTATTAAAGAAAAAACTGATATAAAGTTGGTTATATCTATGGCACCGTGGCAGCACATTCAAATAGACTTAGTTGATTTTCATGATTTTGCAACCATTAATTATAGGTTTGTGTGGTTACTTACTTGTGTTTGTACTTTTTCAAAGTATCTTATTGCAGTTTCTATAAAAAACAAAGAAGCAGGTACTGTTGCTGCACATCTTGTTAAAGATGTTTTTAAAATCCTGGGCCCACCAAAAGTACTTCAAAGCGATAATGGAAGAGAGTTTGAAGGAATCGTAAAACAAGTTTGTGAAACTCTCAATATCCGAATCAAGCATGGCCGCCCCACCATCCCCAGTCTCAAGGACAGATAGAATGACTTAACCAAATGATTGGTCGCGGTTTTACAAAACTTTTGTGGGAAAATGATAATCAACTCCAAAAAAAGATTGGATAAATGTAATAGATGCATTTGTTATCTCTTATAACTCTATGGTTCATAGAGTGTATAGACATACACCCCACGAAGTTATGTTTGGATGGAAGATGCACTGCGTGTCGAAACGCCGGACACTGACCAAACTAATAAAATAGAGATAGACACTGACCAAACTAATGAAATAGAGATAGACACTGACCAGGCTAATGAAATAGAGGTAGACACTGAGCAGACCAATGAAATAGAGGTAGACACTGACAATTCAGAAACAAATGAAATAGAGGTAGACACTTCAGAAACAAATAAAGACATTCAGGTCGATACGAATAATCCAGAGGAAATTATACAGCAATGTATATTACGAGTATTGTGAATTCAAGAGGTTAGATTTAGGACAGTGATATCATCATATCGCATGATTAAGTGCTCGGTCTAAGTTAGGGTTTGTGTTGGGGCTAGCGTTGGGTTAGTATTAGGATTAGTGTTGGGGTTAGGTGATGTTTAGGCAATTAGAATAGAATTATCACCCAAAAAAATTTCAAACTATATTTTGAAGTAAAATTTTGGTTTGTTAGATTAGGGTTAGGATGTTGCCTATAGATTAAGGTTTAGAGATGTTTTATATATCAAAATTTTGCAAGGAAATTTTTTTACTAATACGCAGAAAGCTCTTTCATAGACTTATTTACAAAACGAATGTTGTTTTGAATTTTTCTGATCGTGCTACTATTACACATGATCTTGAAATCGTAAAATTTTTTTGGGTGGCGATTTTACCCCAGTTTGTTTAGGCCGATTTGTTTAATGTAATTGCATGATCATGTTATGTGATGATCACTGAGTTCCTTGTTAAAGTATTGTAGTGGTAATTTAGTAGTTTTAGTAACATTTTGTTTTTTTTTTTAGTCCGTAAATGCTACTTTAGAAAAGTATTATACGAAGTTATGTCAACAGGGAAGCGTCCATCAAAAAAAAACAGCTAACAATACAATCGAACCTGGAACTCCTGTTAGCATTGCGCCGGACTATGATACAAATCCACAAATGCGAAGGAGGAAATTGCAACTAATGTTTTCTCAAACAGGCATATTCAAAAGATTAACCTCTAACAATCATACGGCGATTGTAGAGGTTGATGGCAAAGATATGCCTATCCCAATCAAACAAATTAAAGTAACCAAATCTTAAATGATATATATATCATTTAAATTTCTTTAAATTTTTTCTTTTTTTTTTTTGAAAAATTGAATTTA